GACGCTGTAGAGCCACCGCCGCAACCAAAAGAACATTTACAAAAAATCTTGGTGCCAAAGTGCAACAACTTTGCCAAATTTGTTAACACCATTCACACTGGAACCATGTCCATTGTGGTGTTGTGTGGACAATAAAGATGATTAAATCATTATTACTGTATAGACAGCTGATTCTGTAAAGCCCTTTGGATAAACACATTTATAAATGCAGTCCATATAATTTAGAAACTGTGACTACACTGTTTGTCCAGCAGGGGGCGGTGAGGTATTTGATTTTCTTTGGGTTTTGGACTGAAGATTGATCAATTCATTGTGAAAATAATCAGCAGATTAATCGATAATGAAATGAATCATTGGGTGAAATGCAAATATAATGATCCAATTTGTTAATGAGTCTTAAAACCTTTTAATAAAAGAAATTAACTATTTTACCTACGTGTTTCATTTGTTAACAAAACAAATCAGCTTGTTTGAGTAATTATTTAGTCAAGTTTTCAATTATCTGCCCAATATTGTCTTGTGTCAACATATTGACCTACTTATTTAGGGAAAACTAATAATGGAACGTGAATCAAAGTTTAGGTGGATTTATGATTTCTAAGTAAAACACCATTGAACAACAGCTGAGATGATATTTCAGTCTTGACCAAAGTGCCGGACTGATCGACCAACACACCATCTCCAAATTAGTATAAAACAGTAACATATCATTAAAGTTTAACAACAAAAAAACCACATCAGTACAGCCTGAAGAGCAGGGAGGAGTTTAGCCATCTGTTTCCACTAAACCTGTTTCAGTGAGTCTGGTATTAGTTGCTCTGGTATGTACCTGTCCCAGTGTTAGCTCCACCCCTCCCAGGTAGTCATCATCGCCGAGGTCAGCGCTAGTGTTGTCGATATCGTAGACACCCAGCTTTAGGTTCTGAACCGTCTCAAAGTTATAATCCACTCTGAGTCGCTGACTGAAGGACGGGCTGCAGGAGTTCTTTACACGCTCAGTACGACCCAGCTGACAGAGAGAGGGGGGATGGTTTTTTTTGTTTCATTTATCTCACATAAAATAAAACAAAGACCTGTGTATCCTGAAGTGTTTCTGCCATGTTACCTCAGTCCAGGTGTCTCCTCCTGAGCTCTGCAGCAGCACGCACAGAGGATCAGACTTTGATCTGACATCTTTATTCAGCAGGTCAGAACAAGAGACACTCAGCTCCACCTTAGTGACACAGTCCGCCATCTGAGGGGGGGCAGAGAGAAACATTCAGATCAGGATTCAGTTCAAAATATATGTTGTTACAGAACAGCTCCAGTCTCAGGACAGGTTGTTTAGTTGAAAAGGAGATGTCATCAAATCACAAGAACAACAACCAACACAAACCACCTTTTACTACCACATCCATAACACAAGAGTGCTCTGGGACATTAGGTAGAATTACAGACAAATAGATGGACCAGATGATTGGAGCTGTCCATTAATCGATCCACTGAACATGAATCAGCAACTATTGTGGTAACTGAATCATCTTTGGGGTTCGAACAAACAAAACAAGCGATGGGAAGACACCACCTTGGGCTTTAGGGAATAATGATGAACATTGATTGGACCAAACAACTGAGGAATGATGAATGAAATTAATAAGTAGTTGCAGCCCTACTCAACGCCAACACAAACATATATTAACCAGGAAGCTACAGCTACAGACTTTAACACTGAACCCAAACAGAGTGTCTTTAGGATTTCTTCAGTCTGCAGTAGAAAAAAATCAAATGTCACAGTTACTTCACTGCTGCACCACAGAAACAAAGTCATGAATAGTCTGTAGTCAAGTAGAACATGTGATTTTATCAGTTCTGCTAACAGGTTCCTTCCACATAGCAAAGCAGGTGACAGGTGAACTACTGTGCTGACCACAACTCGTTACGTTACATAATGCTGAAATCCAACCGTGGTGTCGGGAGATGCAGTGCCTTAAACCAACAGTGAGTAAGAAAAGTATAAATAGGCACACACTATGCGTAATTTGTTAAAAAATGAGTAGAGGAAAAGGCAGCTAGGCTTATTTATGCAGTGTAAAATGCCACTGGCTTGAGCTAAAAATGTTGAATAACAGGTTTTACAGTTATAACCCACGGGTCATCTCGGTTAGAGGTGAACTGAACATGCCACAGCCTGGCTGAGGGGGTCTTGAACTTTTAGGAAGCGGTGGGAGCCTCTACTGTAAAGGAAAGGGGTGCACTTGATATATAACACAACATAGAACAAAGCCATCACTACGAAACAAAAATAATCATCTTATCTCAATTATCTTGTTTAATATAATCGTTGGAAGCCAAAATCATAATTGAAAATACATTTTTATTAATTGCCCAGCCCTAAAGTGATGTCTTAAAAAGTGTCTTGTCTGACCAACAGTCCAAAATTTATTTTACAACAACATTAAACAGCAAATCCTTACACTGGAGAAGCTGCAACCAGAGAACGACTGAAATTTCGATTGATAAATGACTTAAACAAGTACTTGTTCTGTATGTCACTTAAAAAAAATATCTGACAAAGTAATGTAATTATTATCATAACCATAACTACAGCTTTCACCAAACCGTAACCATCTCTTACATAAACAAAACCATCAATAAATGAACCTGAACGCAGACACTTTCAAAGACACTCTGTAATTCAAACTCCCTATTTTTTCCCAAAAAAATCTGCTGGGATCCTGCAAATACACCTGACTCTTTACTGGCCAAATTAAATGATGAACTGTTGCCGAGTTGATGCCACTGATGTACCTGACTATATTCTTCTAAAGTGAAGGAACCGAGCGAGCAGCACCTGTAGGAAACACCAACACGAAACTGAAAGGAGATTAAAGGTGGGGTATGAGATTCTGGAAAAAAAACCTAATCCAATATAATTATATATATATAATACACACACACATATACTGTCAGATTCAGCAAATATCTCCTCATAGTACGCTAGCTGCCTATTCTGTGTGCTGAAAAAAAAAAGTAATGTTTGTACACAGTCCTAGATCTGTAAATGTAAAACAATCAGCCAGTCAACACTATTCCAGCCAATCAGTAACAGCTGCCCATCTTAGTGTTTTGGAGCCAGAAGTGATCATATTTGAACAAGAGGGTGGAGCTGGAGAGGGACACACATTGCTATGCCTGACAGGTCACCCTATTAGCAACTTGTCAATCACAAGGTAGCCGTGCCCTAAAGCATACTCTACTTTATCTTCTATTCTCCTCTAAATGGGACCATAATTTAGAAAATGAACATCGTGCTGTACTGAAGAAGACTTCAAACTAGCAATTGAGACGATAAATTCATTATGAAAGTGTTAACTGAGGAAATAAATCAAGTGCGAAGAAGGATCATTTCTCATAGACTTCTATACAACCTGACTTCTTTTTGCAACTTGTGGAGTCGCCCCCTGCTGGCTGTTAGGACAAATGCAGGTTTAAGGCTCTCCGATATTGGCTTTACTTTTCCGACCCAGAGGTCCCCCCTTGTGGGTAACAAAGGGTTGCTATGTAAGAGAGAACCAATCGGTTAGAATTGTTTTGTCTGAAGGAAAGATGTGAGTATCGCTATCTGGAGCTGGTGTGCTGACTCTGGGAAACCATCTTATCCACTCTTATTTGGCTGTTGAGATCAAACATCAAAACGGTTTCTCCAGAATCACATACTCCACCTTCAACTGAGGCTGTAAAACTAGTTTAACCAGCACAGTAAAACACACACCTGTTTTCAATTCAGTGGGGCTTTATTGGCATGGGACACAGATCTTGTGTAAAGCAAGTGTGAAATATATATATTTTTAAAACATATACATTTTTGAGCTGCAACGATTAGCTGTTTAATCGACTGAAAGGAACTCCGCACAAAAAGTAAGGAAATTTATGTTTGGTAGATTACTTCTTTGTTGTAACAATGCTCTTGTCACTTTTAAATGGTGCCACATTTGTGAGGAACATGCATTTATGGGATGAGCAGCAGAGCTGAGTATGTGGGTTGCACCCCTGGAATATTTGCCAAATTTTCTCTGACAATGCCAAACAGCTTTTCTTTGCTGTTGACTCTTGTTTGGTGGATTGGATGTTTGAAGTCTGAAGAAACAAGACGTATTGGCAATTAAAAAATATATTAATTTAACAAACAGGAGTGTCAGTAGCGTGTGGAAGAACCATACAGCGCCACAACAGCCTGGCACCTCCGCATCAGCCTGGTTACACACTGCTGTGGGATGGCAACCCGTTATTGAACCGCCATTTGTGGCAAGTATAGAAATAGGAAATAATTATTATAATAATTCCACCAAAATAATTTGGCAGGAATGATCGACAAAACACAAATGTTTATGATTTCTGATTATTTTTTAAGCTAAAATTGCAAACATTTGCTGGTTCAGGGTTTGCTGCTTTAGTAAATGATAGTAAATCAAGAGTCTTTGGGTTTTGGGACTGTTGGTTGGACCAGCTTAGCAATTTAAATAGTCACTGTGGGCTCTGGGACATTGTGATGAGCATTTTTACAATTTTTGACACAATCGTGAAAATAGTCGGCAGATTAAGTGATCATGAACATAATAGTTGCAGGCATACTAAAAACTCAACATAAATAAACAGAATAACAGAACAGCATTTAATATGATTATATAATATATATATATATATATATACACATACATACATACATACATACACACACACACACACACACACACACACACACACACACACACACAAGCTATATTTGTTTTACACACACACACAGTACTGTCAACTTTGTAAATCACCTTATCGGAGCAGTTCTTTTTAATCTTCTTCAGACCACAGGAACAAACACCAAAGAGGAAGGGAAATAACGTTACTCACGGTCCGGAACACCTTTTCAGTCAGAGTAAACACACCTGCGAGCACTAACCGTTACCTGGCCACTGTGTTAAGACTTTTTCTAAGATTAACCACGTTTGGAGTTTGTATTTTAACTGTTACTGAGACATAAAACAGCCCTTCGTCTCCGTTCAGCTAACAGGGAGCGGCAGACAGACAGGATGGACAACGAGCTACACAACCGCGCCCTGATTGGACAAGACGACTGTCAGTCACGCCTCTCGGTTCAGGGTGAGTGTGTGACGTTTGTGACGTGTGTAAAGCGTAAGATGCTCTGTCAGCAACCAAGGTGAGACTTCCGACGCGACTCCATCAGAATAAAAAGCATGGCAACAAACCCTGGCTATAATTTGCATTGCAAGTTGCCTTGGCCAAAAAGCCAAAAGGGGAGGTCAAAACTCCTATCCCACTTGCAGTATAAAGAACAACTTTGTTGTTCCTTTCTCCGTGCACCTTGGTAGTATGTCGTGGTGTGCCAGAAATTCCCACTTTGCTTGCATAAAGCCAATAACACAGAGGGTAACAGCAAACAATAAAAGAAAGGGTCCAAAGTAAGTAAGATTAGGCAGACAGATCATTTTTTCATCAGAATCCATGGTCCCTCCAGTCCATCCTTGATATGCTCTCTAAATAGTCTTTAAGCCATTATTCTTGGGTAAAACATGCAGATTCCTGTGATTTCCAGTGCAATAAAATAATGTCTTTAACTGATGAAAGGTGAGTGCAAAAATACCAACTACAATCCAAATTTCATATTTTCAATCTCTGGGCCAAACACACACTAGGAGTATCCTGACAAATGACTCATACAGCAATCAAATGAAAGCAGATTTACAAAGTAGTTTAATGATAAAGTACAGACCTGCAACTGCGTTTGTATTCGATTTGTGCATTAACATATCAAGATTAATAGTACAATGTTTAATTTAGAAACCGCTCTGACTGGGTGATTGTTGTGAAGCATTTACATTTAAAAAAAAATCTTAGATAAGATTGTGACACATGGTTGAAACCTTGTTAAAATGCTAGTGAAGACTGTTTTTGTCAAACTACTATTTTCAAGGTCAAGAATGAATTTCCACACTCACTTCAAGCCTGATTAAAAACTAGGCCCTACATTTCTGTGCCTTTATGTTGAAGGGCAGACACTCAGCCGGAAGTACTGTTGCTGAAGCAAAAAAGCATGAGCGTGATGAGCTGTACTGCGATCAGAAGTATAATTGAAAACAGAAGTGCAGAGGAGGGGCAGAAAAAAACTGAACACAGCATGAGCCAACTTCCTCAGCAAGATCAATAGATTTTCATTTTATTCATCCTTTGCAGTAGAACCACAGTGGAATCAGAAAAAGCAGCAGAGCGTCACATCACAAATGAGAAACAGAAAAGGAAAGACCAAAACACAGAAAAATACAGTCCTAAGAAGGAAAGAAAGTACATAATGCACAGAACCATAATGTTCTGTTAATACCCTTAAAAATCCCTCTCTCACACACACACACACACACACACACTGAGCTCCTGCCTCAGGTGACATATCATCCTCATCCTCTGATGATCCACCTCCCTGGAAAAACAGCTCAGATCATTTAACAAACTCTTAAGTTCTACTCAACCCTTCACTTTATCCATTTTACCAACTCATACTCATACACAAAACTTTTAAATTCTAGTGATCCTGAAGGTCATTGTGTAGTTGAAAAGTAGGCACAGCAGTATGAAACTGGGGTTATTCCCCAAACTACTGGTCTGGACTGAGCTACTGTGAATCCCAGGACCTGCACTAAAGCTATGATGAGAATAATTTAAAAAACTGACAACAGTTTTATAAATCTATTACTTTTCTCTCTATTACTACTCTATTACTTTAAATTTGCTTGGAAATAAATAGTGAAAACATATAAAAAATATTCAAACACATCTACAGGCCACAACCTACTATCTAAACACTGCCGTGTACAGGCACCATCTACCATCTATTATTCAAATGTGATTTAGTGCCAGAGGTTATCTCAAGGCACTTTTCATACAGAGCAGTTCTACACCATACTCTATAATATTATGTATCTGAACGCAACCATGTACAGGCCAACATCTAACACTGTCATGTATAGGCTACCATCTACAACCTATAGGCTACAATCTGTAGGACACAACCTAACACTGTCTTATATTGGCTACCATCTACAGGCCACCATCAACAACCTAACACTGTTGTGTATAGGCCACCTTCTACAACCTAACACTGTCTTATATTGGCTACCATCTACAGGCCACCATCTACAACCTAACACTGTCGTGTATAGGCCACCATCAACAACCTAACACTGTCATGTATAGGCTACCATCTACAACCTATAGGCTACAATCTGTAGGCCACAACCTAACACTGTCTTATATTGGCTACCATCTACAGGCCACCATCAACAACCTAACACTGTTGTGTATAGGCCACCATCTACAACCTAACACTGTCGTGTATAGGCCACCATCAACAACCTAACACTGTCATGTATAGGCTACCATCTACAACCTATAGGCTACAATCTGTAGGACACAACCTAACACTGTCTTATATTGGCTACCATCTACAGGCCACCATCAACAACCTAACACTGTCGTGTATAGGCCACCATCAACAACCTAACACTGTTGTGTATAGGCCACCATCTACAACCTAACACTGTTGTGTATAGGCCACCATCAACAACCTAACACTGTCTTATATTGGCTACCATCTACAGGCCACCATCAACAACCTAACAATGTCTTATATTGGCTACCATCTACAGGCCACCATCAACAACCTAACACTGTCGTGTATAGGCCACCATCAACAACCTAACACTGTCTTATATTGGCTACCATCTACAGGCCACCATCAACAACCTAACCATGTCTTATATTGGCTACCATCTACAGGCCACCATCTACAACCTAACACTGTCTTATATTGGCTACCATCTACAGGCCACCATCAACAACCTAACACTGTCTTATATTGGCTACCATCTACAGGCCACCATCTACAACCTAACACTGTCTTATATTGGCTACCATCTACAGGCCACCATCAACAACCTAACACTGTTGTGTATAGGCCACCATCTACAACCTAACACTGTCGTGTATAGGCCACCATCAACAACCTAACACTGTCTTATATTGGCTACCATCTACAGGCCACCATCAACAACCTAACACTGTTGTGTATAGGCCACCATCAACAACCTAACACTGTCGTGTATAGGCCACCATCAACAACCTAACACTGTCGTGTATAGGCCACCATCAACACCTAACACTGTCTTATATTGGCTACCATCTACAGGCCATCATCTACAACCTAACACTGTTGTGTATAGGCCACCATCTACAACCTAACACTGTCTTATATTGGCTACCATCTACAGGCCACCATCTACAACTAACACTGTCGTGTATAGGCCACCATCAACAACCTAACACTGTCTTATATTGGCTACCATCTACAGGCCACCATCAACAACCTAACACTGTTGTGTATAGGCCACCATCAACAACCTAACACTGTCTTATATTGGCTACCATCTACAGGCCACCATCTACAACCTAACACTGTTGTGTATAGGCCACCATCTACAACCTAACACTGTCTTATATTGGCTACCATCTACAGGCCACCATCTACAACCTAACACTGTTGTGTACAGGCCACCATCTACAACCTAACACTGTCATGTATAGGCTACCATCTACAGGCCACCATCTACAACCTAACACTGTTGTGTATAGGCCACCATCTACAACCTAACACTGTCTTATATTGGCTACCATCTACAGGCCACCATCTACAACCTAACACTGTTGTGTACAGGCCACCATCTACAACCTAACACTGTTGTGTACAGGCCACCATCTACAACCTAACACTGTTGTGGATAGGCCACCGTCTACAACCTAACACTGTTGTGGATAGGCCACCGTCTACAACCTAACACTGTTGTGGATAGGCTACCGTCTACAGGCCACCATCTACAACCTTACACTGTCTATAGGCTACCGTCTACAGGCCACCATCTACCATATGCTACTGTCATGTATAGGTTACCACCTACAGGCCGCCACCTGTCATCTATCACTGTCATGTATAAGCTATCTATATTTAAACCATCTGAAGTCCACAACAGACTACCACCTATATTCTAAATGCTCCATCTATAGCCCAATACTACTCTATCTATGGACTACCTTGTACCTACAGTTTAACATGCACCAATTTCCATTTAGAGACTATCTTCCTTTTTATTTATTTATTTATTTTTTTTACTTAACATTGTAAGTAAGGTTAATCCTCTATGGCCATTCAAGGTGAATATTTATTTGCTGATGATCAGTTTACAGGTTACAACTGAATGTTTACGGGCCACTGTTGATACACTATCTTTCTCGTGTTTTGAATGAAGCATCTTTGTATCTGTCACTCACCTGAAAGTCCTGCCTTCTGTCTGTCTATCGATCAGTCGGAGGGGGAAATCTCAGCAGGTGAATGATTGACAGCTCAGTGTCAGTCAGATAAAATTTACCTCCGTCCCACACACAGACAGACACACTGTTCAGACTCTCATCCTTTGCAGAAGTCAAGTCTGTCCAGAATTGTTCTTTTATTCCAAAGGATTTTCCTTTTCTCCAAACACCAGGTCCACAACAAACAAAATCATCTTTAACAACCATTTGTCTCGACAGTGTTTCACTCCACTTTATTAAGACCTGTTATCCATTTCTTTCACGCACACATCAAAACTGCATGCACAACCAGTTGAACATTATTAATGTTCCTGTTTAAAGGTTAACCATTTACTGAAAGCAGAAGATTCCTCTTCAGACAAAACCAATTCCGTCCATGCTTTCTTTTAGTTAAGTTCAGTAGGCCAACCACAACAATTATAGAAGAAACTGCATGTGTGTGGAGTGAACAGAAAACAACTGTGAGGCTTTATTTTAAATCTGCAGCATGATGGCCAGAAGCTGAGAGCAGCTTTGGTGA